CTACAAATCCCTTACACATAATGTTCTGTCTGGATTTTTCCTACAGCCAAGAGGGAATTTATTTGAGCATATGCAAAATTTGAGTGACTTCAATCATGAGTTTCTAAAAAATAGCGAACAGAACAGAAACTAGGAGATGACACGTGTGGCAACAGAATGGTAGAGTTTTGCAGTATAGTTGTGGTAGACACAAAGAAAGCTTAGGCAAAGAGGAACTGTTAGGGTTAGGAAACTAAAGAGTGTATGAGGACCTGGTGACTTTTTTCTTCTTTTTTTATTGTGACAATGAGGAAAATGAAAGAGCAAATGTATACTGGGATGTAGATGGTGGCTTCCTAAGCTTGTTCATGGGTCAAATAGCTGATTTCTTTTTGTATCCTAGCTTCCCTGGACTACAGCTCAGGCCCCAACTAAGCATGTTAAGTGATAGGCTTTTGGAGTTATTTGAAAATAACCTTAGCCAATGTGGTCCTCTGACTAGAAACCTCAGCATCACTTGAGAGCTTGCTAGAAATATAAGAAGAAAAATACTTTAGGCCCCACCTTGGACCCACTGAATCAGTATCTCTGGGACCCAGCAATCTGCAGCTTAACAAGCTTTTCCAGATGGCTCTTATTTACGTGTGCCCAAATCAGAGAAGCACTAGTCCAGACCATCAGTTCCCTTCTTCAGTGTTTCTGATGGTAGGAGAGACACCAGCTAGCACACTTTGGAAGTATCGCAATCTGTTGCCTGCCTGATGTGCATTAGCAGCTGTAGTGAACCTCTGTTACTCGTGGGAATAACAAAGATGAACAAGAATAATCAATTTGTTTTGATGTGGAAAAATTGAAAATGCTAGTCTTAAATCCCAAAATTAAATTAACAAATGCGAAGAGCCTGTTGTATCACTATTTCTCTAGACCAGAATTTCTCAACCTCAGCATTACTGACATTTTGGGCCAGATCTTTGTCATGAGAGGGTGGTGAGCAGTTACATTAACTGCAGGCTGTTTAGCAAAATTCCTGGCCTCTATCCACTAGATGTAAGTAACACACACACACACACACACACACACACACACACACACACACACACACACATATCAGTTGGGAAAACCGAAATGCCTCCAGACATTGCCAAATATCCTCAAGGTAGGTAATTGGGGAGAGGGGGGAAAATTGCCTCTGGTTAACAACTGCTGCTCTAGATATAGTTTATATTGATAAAATTCTGTTTCTGAAGGAAACATCGATCTTTTAAATTTATTGTTAGATGAACACATTTAGTTCGACTTCTACGACTTGTTATTGTGATAAGAATTTTTCAATTGATTCATCAAAAAAGACAACTTGAAAAGCTGATGAGAAGGCTGGTAAGTGGCAAAACATGCTTATGATTCAGAAAAAATATTTTGTGTTTTGGGACCCATTGGCAAGGGTTGATATCTATACTGTATAATGTTTTTATTTTTATGTTGATGAATGTTTCACAAACTAATGATGATTTTAAACTCTCAGGTTTCAGAAAACAAAAGGCGATACACAAGGGATGGATTTGACCTAGACCTCACTTATGTTACAGGTTTGTGACACTTAACTGTTGATTTACTTGTATTACTTCACTTTTTCTTGTAATTGTATTTTTTTTTTGCCTCATGTAAGACACATTCATTCAAAATATTCTTTATTCATGAGGATATATGCCACTGTGATAGTGTGACATATTTGTGGTTTAGCCCTGGCAATGGAAGGGCTGCATGTCTTCTCATTTCAGGACTACTCGGTTGCAGCATAGGAACTTGAATGGATTTTCAGCCGACTCCGTTTGAGTTTCAATTTATTAAGCTCTAGTAGTTATTCTGAGTCTCAAGGATCCCAGAGAGACCTCTTCGCATCCTAGAACCCCAGAGAATGAGGTCAATGCTTGGTAGATCTCAGGTTTTCTGAGTCAGAGGGCTGCAAAGCACCTTGGGAGTTCCCACCATCACTGGTGCCCAGAACTCTTGGATTTTCTCTGGTATTTAAGATAAGAAATAAATTCTAAGAACAGGGAGAGCTTCATACTGAGGCCAACATAAGTACATGGCATACGGTTAGTACTAGTGGAGTCTTAAGAACGCCATGCCAGTTTAATTGTCATTATGTTGGATCATTTAATATGTTATTTGATTATCCTGAGTATTAGCTCTTTTCTGTTAACCTCAATCTTAAAAGTTTTTTTTTTCTGTGAAAATGGAGTGTGATCATGAATAAATTATTTTTTGTATGTTATAGGAAATCTATAATAATGTTTGTAATAGTGATGGTTTTGATTTTCAGAACGTATTATCGCTATGTCATTGCCATCTTCTGGAAGGCAGTCTTTCTATAGAAATCTAATTGAGGAAAGGGCCTTTATCTGACAAATACTCATTTCTCAGTGAATGTAGACTGTGTAGTCATGAGTTTATTATTGACCCAGATACGGCAGTATTCTTTTAAAAATGTACTCTTTCAAGTAAAAAAAAAAATCATAATGGATTAATACCAGTTACAATTGTGCCAGTGGTTACAAACCACCCCAAAACTTACTGGCTTATAACAGCAACTATTTATCTGGCTCATGATACTATGGTTTGTGAATTTGGGATGGGCTTAACTGTCCAATTCAGGTGACTGCAGAAAGGATTTCCTGTCTCAACTAAGCTCATTCATGTATCTATGGGCAGCTACTGGGTCATCTGAGGACTGACTAGTCTAAAATGACTTGGTTACCCTTAACTGACAGAACCACTACATGCTACATGCACCCCCCAAGGTCCAAGGCCCATCCCATCTGGCACTCACTGCTGCTAACAGCTCCACCCCCTTCACCAGCAGAGCCACCATATGCTGCATGCACTTCTAAGGCACTGAGGACTGGCCTGCCTGGTGCCCACCCTGCTGGTGGCAATATGCCACAACTAGCAAAGCCACTGCACTTAGCATGCATATGCTTAGGGCCTGAGAACTCATCTGAATGATGGCTCCCACACCAAGAAAAACCATACCACTGTCTCCACAAACACTCACCATCAGACCACTGAGGCACTCACAGACACCACTGAATGCTGATTATAGCCAAAAAAGTCGCATGAAGACTATATTACTGCACCCACCCAGAACCAAAGTCAAAGCACCCTGCTCAATGAACACTATAGGGGACAACTATTGGAAAAAGTATTTCTTTATGAAAGCTCTCTAACATTGGAAGAGGCAACTGTTCCCGTAGATGTGCAAAAATCAATTTAGGGCCCCAAGAAACATAAAAAGCAAGGAAACATTACACCTCCAAAGAAACACAATAATTCCCCATGAACAGACCCTAAATTTTAAGAGTATATCAAATGGCTAAGAAATTCAAAATAATGATCTTAAGGAAACTCTATGAGATACAGAGAATACAGATAGACAAATCAATGAAATTAGAAAAACAATTTATGATCTTATGAGAAATTCAACAAGGATATATATATGTCATTAAAAACCAGACAGAGATTTTGGAGCTGAAGAATTTAAGGAATAAAATAAAAATACCATCAAGAGTCCAGGTGCAGTGGTTCACACCTGTTATCCCAGCACTTTGGGAGGCCAAGGCAGTGGATCACTTGAGGCCAGGAGTTCAAGACAAGCCTGATTAACATGACAAAATCCTGTCTCTAAAAGATAAAAAAATTAGTTGGGTTTGGTGGCGCATGCCTGCAATCCAAGCTACTTGGGAGGCTGAGACATGAGAATTGCTTGAACCCAGGAGGTGGAGGTTGCAGTGAGCCAAGATTGTGCCACTGCACTCCAGCCTTGGTGGCAGAGCGAGACCCTATCTCAAAAAAAAAAAAAAAAAAAAGTACAATCAAGAGGTTTAAAAACAGACATGGGAGAGATATGGCCAAAATCTAGGAAGCTCAAAGGTTCTCAAATAGATTCAACTCAAAAAGTTCTTCTCTGAGGTGCATAATAGTCGAACTGTCAAAAGTCAAAAAGAGGGAATATTCGTCAGGTGTGGTGGCTCACACCTGTAATCCCAGCACTTCGGGAGGCTGAGGCGGGTAAATCACTTGAGGCCAGGAGTTCAAGATGAGCATGACCAACATGAAGAAACCCCATTTCCACTAATAATACAAAAAATTAGCTGGGTGTGGTGGCATGAACCTGTACTTCCAGTTACTTGGGGGGGCTGAACCACAAGAATTGCTTAAACCCAGGAGGTGGAGGTTACAGTGGGCCAAGATCACACCACCGCACTACAGCCTGGGTGACAGAGCAAGACTGTATCCAAAAAAGAAAGGAAATATTAAAAACAGCAAGAAAAAAGCATCAAGTCACATATAAGGGAATCTCCATTTGATTAACAGTAGATTTCCCAGTGGAAACTTTACAGGTCAGTAGACAATGAGATGGGATGATATATTCAAAGTACTGAAGGAAAAAAATAAACAAAACTGTCAACCAAGAACACTATACCCAGCAGAGCTATTCCCTAGAAATGAGGGAGAAATAAAGTATTTCCTAGACAAGCAAAAACTGAAGGAATTCATCACCACTAAACTGGCCTTATAAGTACTGCTTAAGGTGGTTGGTTCTACATCTGGAAGCAAGAGGATGATTACCATTGTGAAAACACACAAAAGTATAAAACTCACTGGTAGCACAGATATGCACATGAGAAAGAGAAAGGAATCAAACTTTATCACTACAGAAAATGACCAAACCACAAAGATTTAAAAAAAAAAAAAATAGGGGAAGAAAAGAACAAAGGATATACAAAACAACCAGAAAAAAATTGAACAAAATGACAGGATAAAGCCTCATCTATTAATAGTAACCTTGAATGTAATATAAACAGATCAAATTCCCAATTAAAAGATATAGAGTTGGCTGCCAAAATTTAAAAAAAAAAGACCCAACTGTATACTGCCTACAATAAACTAACTTTACCTATAAAGGTTCATATAGACTGAAAGCGAAGGGATAGAAGAAATTATTTCAGCCAAACAGAAACCAAAAGCGAGTAGAGGTAGCCATACTTATCAGGTAAAACAGACTTTAAGTCAAACTGTATGAAGAGACAAAGAAGGTCATTTGATAATAAAGGGATCAACTTAGCAATAAGATATAATAATTGTAAATATATATGTACCCAACACTAGAGCATTCAGATAAACAAGGCAAATATTATTAGATCTAAAGGGAAAGATAGACTTCAATGCAGTAACAGTTGGGGCCTTTAACACCTCACTCTTACCACGGGACAGATCATCCAGACAGAAAATCAACAAAGAAATATCAGATTTAAGCTTACAGATAGAACTAAGTTCTGGTGTTCTCTAGTGCTGTAGGGTGAGTACAGTTAACAATAATTTATTGTATATTTTTAAATAGAGAGGATGTTGAGTGTTCCCAACACAAACAATGATAAATATTTGAGGTGATAGATATGCTGATTATCCTGATTTGATCATTACATGTTGTATATAGGTATTGAGATATCCCTCTCTACCTTCTAAATATGAACAAGTGTTATGTGTCAAGTAAAAATATTTTTAAAGAATGAAGGAAACAGATTTTTTAAATGAAAGGAAAGAAAATAACCTGACTTGGCTGAATGGCCCCAAGTGGTTTCTCATTCTCCAGTAGGCTACTTCAGTCCTGTTCACATGATGGCAGAGGCAAGAGTCCCTGGAGCGGCAACAAAGCAATGCAAATCCTCTTAAGGCCCAGGCTCAAAATTATATATTACTTCTACCCTATTTTACTGGACAATGCAAATTACAGTACCAGTCTGGATTCAAGGAGTAGAAAATAAACTCGAATTATTGATGAAAGGAATTATAAAGAATTGTGGCCTTTTTTGATAGTCTGCCATAGGGAAGAAAGATGGGGATGCTATAACCAAAATGGGTATTCTTAGGTTGAGATCCTAAATTATAGTGAGGGCATACTGGTTTAGGCTCTGTGGATGACTAAATTAATTTCAAACATATAATGCTGTTTACTGTGAAATGCCAGCTGAAAGGATCATTGTTTAATTTTATGTAATTTACAATACTTATTATACCTCAATAAAAGTATAATTATCGAGGGCCGGCATCAGTTGCTGAGAGATGGAAGGAGTAGCTCTCTGCAGTGTGTTAGTTCAGTTCCGAACAGGACAGTAGCTCTCTGCGGTGCGTTAGCTCAGTTCCCAACAGGACAGTAGCTCTCTGCGGTGTGTTAGCTCAGTTCCGAATAGGACAGTACCCCTCTGCGGTGTGTTAGCTCAGTTCCCAACAGGACAGCGCCTCTCTGCGGTGCGTTACCTCAGTTCCCAACAGGACAGCGCCTCTCTGCGGTGCGTTAGCTCAGTTCCGAATAGGACAGTACCCCTCTGCGGTGTGTTAGCTCAGTTCCCAACAGGACAGCGCCTCTCTGCGGTGGGTTACCTCAGTTCCCAACAGGACAGCGCCTCTCTGCGGTGCGTTAGCTCAGTTCCCAACAGGGCAGGGCTGCAAGTTCAGCTGCTTCCCAGAAAATGTCCTGGATCCCCCGGCCTAAGTCATCATCCCATGACTGGAGAACGTGGACAGATTATTTTGTCAAGAAACTGGTGATAAACGAGGGACTATAGGAATTAAGAACTGAGCTGAAAAAGAAATGTTTAGAGTGATGCAAGATGGCCAATTAGAAGCAACTGCAGTCTGCAGCACTCACAAAGAGGAATGAAAAGCGGCGAGGGAATTCAGCACCTTCAACTGAGATATCCAGGTTCTCACGTTGGGACTGACTGAATGAACAGGTCGGCCAATGGAGAACGAAGAAAAGCGGGGAGAGGGTGCGATGGCCCAGCCAGGGGCAGCATGGAGCCAAAGGAACCCCCACTCCCAGCCAAGGGAAGCAGCGAGGGATTGTGCAATCCTGCCCAGGAAACTGTTTCTCCCATGGATCTTTGCAAGCCATGGATCAGGAGATCCCCTTGTGAGCCTATGCCACCAGGGGCTTGGGTCTGATACACAGAACTGTATGGAGTCGCGCACATCGGCTGCTCAGGCACACACAGAAACCCAGGAGTTTGACACACTCTAGCACCCGGGATCTTCAGCACAGTGGGAAATCTGTCCATATGTATCTCTGGGAAGGGGGCTGAATCCAGGGAGCCAGGCAGCGTCATTCTACAGGCCCCATTTCCATGGCACCTCACAAGTTAAGACCCACTGGCTTGGAATCCTAGCCTGCCAAAAGCAGCAGCCTGGAATCCACCTCAGATGGGTCTGAGTTCCCGGGGAGGTGGTGAGAGGCAGCCGGCATCACTGTGGTTCATAGACTCAGCCACTCCAGCCTGCCAGCTATGGAGAATACAGTCTGGACAAGGAAGAGTTCCCCACAACACAGCACAGCT